CAACAGGACGCTGACTGCAGTTCACTGAACAGCCACTGGTGGCGCTGTTAGCTGCAGTTTAATGAACGTTACATAGAGGAGCTTTAAGTAAGATTTTAACATGTAATTGAGTTTTTTTACTTTCTGCTTACTTAGAACATGGTCACGTGGCTGATTGATTGATTAATTGGCTGATTGATTGGCTGATTGGCTCACTGTAACTGTAACTGGTTGAGCCATTGGCTGGGGGGCGGGGCATCAGGGTCCCTGAGTGACAGGTGGAGGCTCGTGATGCATTCAGGTGATCCTGATCAACCCATGAAGTCACCATCAGGAAGTGAGACCACAGTTAATGGTCTCATTGTGTCTTTAACTGCCTGTAACAAGTCAGTGATTCAAACCTTTACTGATCTGATGTTGTGACTTTATAAGTTGACGAGCACCGACTGAACTCAGCATCGCTGTCGTCCACACTTTATAGCTCCTCTGCCGCCTTCCCATTGGCTACAGGCTGCTCCTCCTCCTCCTGTCTCCTCCGTCTGTTGAAGAAGCCGAGCTGAGCAGAAAACAGACGTCATAAACTGCCGAATTCTAACTGGCAAATGTTAGCATAATTAGTATTAATAATCTGCTATATGGACAATATTTCAGCAACTGCTTGGCTGATTTGGACAATATAGGAGTGGGTTATTGAGGAAGCTGAATCCATAAATAAATACACTGGACCTGCATTTTGAAAACAAGAAAGTTCAGATGTAATATTTGTCCAAAGTTCTGCTGTGCAGCAATTTGTATAAATAATATAATATATAAATAACCTCAAAATCATCAAAGTCAGCCCACTGGCAGTGGAAATATGGCCACTTCCAGATTAAACATTCATGTTGTATTATAAAAAAAAGAAATAGATTCAGCATCCTCAATAAACCACTCCTATATTGTCCAAATCAGACAAGCAGTTGAAATATTGTCTATATAGCTAATTATGCTAATGTGTATGCAAGTTACCACACTGGACATTTCTAACGTACATAACCTTAAATAAGATGCACATTGATCATATAAGTTTGACTGGGAGGTGACTGTACCTTCCACAGGGCCAGGACCAGTAAGGCCAGTAGCAGCAGGCCTCCCAGTGAGCTCCCGAGTATAATCCAGACGGGGACGCTGTAATCCTCCTCCTTCCTCAGCTCCAGGATTATCTGAAAACAGTCATATCATCACTGACTGCATTTCATTTATTCTCCCTTTGATCAATCAAACACATAACTGCCTGTAAATAATCTCAGATACCAAGACACATACAGTAATAATACCTTCTGACAGCAGAGGGCAGCAAACCTCCACATCCAGTGTAATAACACTGAGTTAGGTGGTGTTTACTGTTATTTCTCTCATGTTCACTCTGCTGACAGAACGGGCCAGAAAACTGAATAATGACAACAACAACAATCCGAGTGCCAGACAACAGTCTAATCCTAAAAAATAAATAAAAAGTTGATATGATATGTTAGTTTCCCTACAGACGTGTATTAAGATACATGTACGAACATGATTGGAACAATCAAATAATAATTTCCACATTAAAATCCTTAAAAACTAATCTTCTCTACTTCATTAAACACTCTATCTATAAATATGCAAATGTTCATTTCTAAAGTTTTCCTGCTGGACACAACATGTCTCCTCATTCACTGAAGTCTGTCTGAGCACTGCTGGATCTCACTGTATGAGCTGCATAATGGACCAGGATTTACTTCCTACGCTTTGTGATGTCACAGATGATGCTTGTATGCCACGCCCCCTAAAATCAGATGTTCAATGAGCTCAGAGAAACTTTAACTTTCAGCAGACGAATGTGAAAACATCCTTCTGGTGTCAAACTGCACAGACGTCATTCAAACATCACACTGTTGGAACAAGAACTGAGTTTTACACAGCTAACTAGTTTGCATATTTACATCAATCGTTCAGTCAACTTGGTCAACTTCTGTACATAGATATGCTATGTGCTAAGCTTATCTATGTTGAAAACATAGATAAGACCACATTTTGAAGATCTTAATCAGCAAAACTAGCCAATCTACATCAGTGTCGGGTAGTTACATCTGAAAGTTAATGTTAGCAGAAATCGAGCTAACTAGCTAGCTGACGATTGATGTATATTAGCTAGCAAGTTAGCTAATTTACATCCATTGTTATCTAGCCCCTTAAAATCAGATGAGCTCAGATAAACTTTGGAACATGAAACATGGAGTTGGACTTTAAGAGCAGAAACTATTTGTTGGTGAGAGTTTTACCTGTCGGGCCGGTCTGTCCTCCTGGAGGAACATCGGACTGGACGCTTCCAGCTGGATGGAGGCAGCAGTCAGCAACTCCAAAGACCTGAAGCTCACCTGAAACAGGTCGTCAGTCGTCTGATTGTCACGCAGTTAAAAAAGCAAAAGACTGAAGTGAAACCAAGATTCCTCGGAGACTCACGGCGAGCAGAGCGGGAAGCTGCAGTCTTCCTCTGAGCGTCACCTTCAGCTCTCTGGAGGCGGGCAGGTTCAGTCTGCACTGGACCGCCACGCTGGTGCTGGTACTGCGGTTCTGACAGGAGAAAACAAAGTCTGATTCCTGGACGTTTCTCCGGACTCGCTCTCAGTTAACTCAGTCTTACCAGCTGTGACAGGTGAGACAGGTCCTCAGCTGTGACCTGATTGGTTGTTCTGGGTTGAGGCAACGTGCAGTGAGACCCAGCAACCTGCTGAGGAAGAGGGGAAGCCTCAGGTGTGACTGTCGTATGTTATTATATATAAAGTCCTTTTTTAAGACGTATTTGCTCTTCGTACCTGCTCGATGCTGTAGTCTGTGACGTTCATCAGCTGGTTCCCCTGCCGGGTCACAGCCCAGATATCAGCCCTGAACAGGAGGTCCTGCACGGAGAAGATTCCCAGGTTCTGGATCTGAACACAAAGTAAAAACACACTCAAAGACATTCCTCATGCACATTAAAGGATTTTGTCCTGTTTTGGAGGATCAATGTATCTAGTAACTTATTAATGATTAGATGAGAAAATATTTTATAAACAAAATGGAGAGTAAGGTAAGTGACCCGTTTTGCAGCTACTTCTTCATCTACGTCAGTGAATTAGGGATTTATTTCAACAAAAACAGAGTTGGTGATTGTTGGAAAGACTAACAAAGTTGGTTTTAATGAGTTTTATTCTGTTTCTGTCCACTTTGAACTGTGTTTTAGGGATTATAGGTAAAAATAAAAATGACTGATTTTGTCAATGATGTCTGGGGTGATATCTAGAAGCAGGTGAAATTCATATTTGTAACTTTTTTAATTTAACTGTCCCGGAAAAAGATTGTGTTTTTGTAACTCACATAATAAGTGAGGTTGAAGGTGGGAGAGCTGCTGTCTGGTTGGTCCCAGGATGAAGAGGAGGAGGAAGAAGAGCTGTCTGCTTTGATCTCAAATCGAGGAGGGTTGGGGTCTCTGACGGAAGAAGAGGGGAAGAGTTTCTTTCATTAAATATATAATAAACTATACAGCGTTATTGCCAGAAAGATCAATAAAAGGATTTCACTCCCACTCACCTGGTGAAGAGGAGGTCGGTTTGGTACTTCAGAGGGAGGAAGATGTCATTTATGTTGTCGTCTGGGTATCCGTCTTCTCCCTCACTGATAAACACACACAGACAGACTTGTAAGGATTTATATTAATTACCTGGAATCTAATCTATAATCTATAAACAAAAACTAAAGCTTAGACCCTGAATATATTGGTTCACCTTTAATGGACCTGCTGGGTGTTCCCATATGGGAATGAGGTCCCCACATTGTGAGTACCAGCTATATGTCCCCATATGGCAGCTGAGTCCTCACAATGTAACTGAGATTAGGTCTGATTACATACAGAACATATTTGTACTTTTTTTTCTTGAACCCTGATTGTAACTCAGAAATTTTAACCCTAAAACACCTTTCAAAGAAGTGACAAGTAAACAAAAATCTTTAAAAGGCTATTCTATAAAATAATATATATTTAATCTTGGCAGCTAATTGACCCTTTGTAAGCCCGACCACAGTTTACAATCCTTTCATTCATTCAGACTAAACCTTTTGTTGGTTTAAACTTTTAAAAAGATCCCTGTGTAAATTAAATCTTGTCTGAGCATCTTGTTTCAACAGGAAATACATTACATTATTAAAGATAAAATAAAACTGGCTTTTAATTAGGACCTCACCCACTTTCTTCTTCCAAACTCACTAAAATTCACATTGACATCAGATGTCTCACCTTGTGGTCGCCATGGCGACACGTACGTGATCCAGGAAGACAGAACGACTGAACTCAAACTCCAGACGGAAAGATACCTGGAAAGGAAGAGAGCAGGTTGCTTTTCAAAATAAACTGAAACAACTGACATTTTATCTGATTAAATAACTGGACAGCCTTGAGTTGCTATATATATCATATATATATATATTAGCAGTGGTTCAATTTAACATTTATTCAGTACAAATCTGACATACTTTAGTATTTTCTCTTTATGACATTTTCTACTCCACCTCAAAGTGATATATTTGATTTTTTCAACCAACTAAAACAGTCAAATCCGGCTTTTACATTAATGCATAATATCTATTGATATCACTGTGGGGCAGCCGGCGCTGGATAATGTTAGCTTGCTTGCTTGCTAACATTATTGCTAGAAAAATATTATCTGGAGGTTATGTTAGCTGGATAATGTTACCTTCCCCAGCTAATGTGATCCATTATACTAACTTATGTATTCTGACAAACGGTGTTGATTTTAGCCAACAATAAATTATGTAGCGGTACAAAGCTACCCCAGGATGATGCTTGCTCGCGGCTACAGACTGTGTACACAGGACACTGACTGCAGTTCACTGAATAGCCACTGGGGGCGCTGTTAACTACAGTTTAATGACAGTTGCATAGAGAACGTTTAACAGACATGTTGCTGTAACACGTGAAATGTTTTGTTTTTGAGGATTTGCAGATCTTCAGACCGAAGCTGTGTCTCATGTCTTTCCCTCCGGCTGCGTCTCACCTGATCCAACAGTCTCGTTAAGAGGAAGCCGACAATAATCTGCACCACAGTCTGGACCAATAAACTGGACTTTATTCAGACAGGCCTCTGTGAAGCGGGCCCTCGGGGGCCGTGCAGTGGTGGGCGGGGCTGTGATCATGTTTACAGGACGGTCGTTAGGCTAATGAAGGATTTCAGTCAGTGGCTGTCGGTTGCAGCGTATTCCCGCTCTGTTTAATGACTATCATTAGTCTGACTGTATAACAGCTGTATGATGGTCTAATAATCACTAGCTGTGAACTGACGTTTCACTTTGTTCTCTATGTTTTATGTTTGTTTTTATGTTTGATGAACACCAGCTCGTACTGACTCATTGTGGATGCAGCACCGACCTGGGACAAGGACTTCATGAAGGGAGCGCTGATGTTACAGCTCCTCTGATTGGCCAGCCTGTCCTCGGAGTAACACTCAATCTGAATATCTGATTGGTCCTGTGGGTAAGGGGAGGAGCCTAATGAGATATTGCACTTGTTGCTGAATTGATCCAAAACAATTACATCTTTCATTTTTAAAATGTCATATTATTTCTGGTTCACCTTGACGATGAGGCTGGAGAAGAGGAGGTTGGAGGAGGTGGAGATGTGGATGGCAGCTCCGTAGGCATTCTCTCCCTGATTCTCTAGTCGGGCAAACACCACCATCCTCCTCCGCCCGCTCTCCACCACATACACCGCCCCCTGATGGCTGCAGAGTGTCCAGGCGGCCCGGTCCCTGGAGCTGCAGAACTGCCTTCAGGTGAAACACAGAGGCAATTACCTGCAATAGATATATTATAATAACACACTTGTGTGTTTATGAAGGTGTTACTTACTGAACATCCATGAGGTCAGTGTGACTGTGGAGGATGAGGTCGGGAACGCAGATATCTTCCTGCTCACAGCCGTTCCAGAAGGGAAGCTACAGCAAGAAACAAATATTCAGAATAAAAAATATTCTTTAAAGTCTACGGCCATTCATGGCGATCCATCCAATAACAAATATTTGTTAAGATATTTCAGGACCTCGTTAGTACCTGCTTGCTGATGTATTTTTAAGTGTGACACATCTACAAAAATCATGACCATAAAACAACAAAATCAACGTTGCCAAACTAATCACTCTATCACCTCGGTCCTCACGATGCTCGGCCAGTCCGGGTCCAACACCGGCCCTTCGTCGGGGCTCTGCATGCCTGTCTCCAGGACAACTGCGATGGGACGTCCATAATCTGTCGTCTCCTGTTCAGAGAAACATGTGAGTTACATATGTTTTGTATTCGAGGATTCCCTTGACTTTTTGCTGACTGGGACATTTGTATTGTTTCATGATTGTTTTGTGTGTTGGGGACGGGAGGGAGGCTGAGTCTGACCTGGATGGAGAAGACGAGGTGCTGGCAGCTCTGCCCTCCAGCCTGCAGGAGCAGAGTCCTGGGCTGCTGTCGGTCTGATTCGTCCAGAACAGCTCGAGGAGGAAAACGCCTCTCATCCAGCAGCAGACTGTACCAAGCAGCTGGGAGGAGGAGGAAGAGGGCTTAAAAGAGGCAAATCAATCCAGTCTTATCCAGCTTGAGATCACAGACTTTCACAGGTCTTTCAGGTGATATGAAAGCAAGTGATGTCACCTGTTGAGCTCATTATGTTTCCAAATGTTTGAGTTTTAAGACATTTTCTGAAAGGTTGGCAAAGTAAAACTTAAAGTAAATGTTTCCATCCACTATTGTTACAGAAACCCCATTGGACAAAACAAGATTACATAACCAATTCCCAGTAATACATCATATTTTCTCTGCTTCCAACTTCACATTCATATATTTTTAATAAATTTTAAAAGGGGCTGACATGCAAGAAAAGTCCCACGTTGGACTCAAACCAGAGATGTTACAGTTGCATAGTACTGCTTCTGACTCTGACTCTGACTTCGGACTCCCTTGTTGTTTTAATTCTTAGTTTTTTTTAACAGGAAATGGAGTAAGCAGAAGCTCCTAGAGAATCATCAAAGAACCAGACTCAAATACAAGACTCAAAAACACATCCCAGTCTTTTAAAGAAATCATTTTCCAGGACTTTTCAAGGACATTTTCCAGGAGAACTTCCTCTAAGAAAAAAGTAAGGCACTTCGTCACAGACACAGAAAAAAGAAAAAAACACCTCCCTATGAAAGACAATTCACCAACTCTGTAACCTCACAGTTAGCTGCAGGTCAGTGCTGTAGATACAGGCCACAGGTCAGTGCTGTAGATAATGCTGGCTCATATCCCTTTACCTTTATGAGAGAGTATTGTTTTAAGACAGACCTGAAAACATATGAACTTGTCCTTTAACAACAACAAGAGGTCTGACAGTGTCACCACTGTCGTGTGGAGCGGCTGTCTGTTGATGTGGCAGTTTCTGTTTGTCTGATGATGATTAACAGAAGAACTACGTGGCATAATGATTAAATTCTGTTGTTGAGTCCAAATAAAATACACACACAAAAGTAATGTAATCTCTCTTGTTTTCCTAACACTTTTTAACAGAGTAATAACTTTCTTTGTTATTGATTAATAAAGTGATGCATTTCCTGCTTCCTTATTAGCTGTTGGACTGCAGAACTCGTTCTCGTCTGTTTAACAACTGAACTTTTGATTTATGAGCGCACAGAGAGCTGAGGTAAGCTGCTCCGGTCCAACACAATTCACATTAGAAACGCCACGTCTGCACTTTCAGGAATAAACTCGAAATAAAATCTGACAACTGAGGTTCAGACCCATGTCCTCTCTCCGTCCACTGAAGCGTGTTCGTTCGATACCGTGTGTGTGCGTGCATCTGTGCGTCTGTATGTGTCTAATCTGGTCCAGATGATCTGAGGAGAAGAAGAGGAGTTGATGGAGAGAAAGAAGAGAGGGAGGTATGAAGTGATGGAGGGAGGAGGAGTGACACGGTTTAACTGTGGCTGGCTGGAGTTAGCATGTTAGCGAGGTTTCCATGCAGCCGGCCCGCACATCTGAGGCCAATTACACAGAGACACGACAACGGCCTCACAAAGCACTGTGGGGAATCTCTGCTGCGAGCAAAAGACCACGACAAGACTTTCCACATACGGCCGGTCGCAACGCTAAACATCTGGATGAATCTGGCGCTCTCATTGCAAACGTCCACACAGCTGGAGGACCAGACAGCTGTTAGAA